CTAGCCTACAGGCACGCGGCCCACCCTACCACATGCGCAGGGCCTAGGTGCGTTGGGCACCGCGCGTAAGGGCCTACCCGTGCAGACCTACTGTGCAGATGGTGCGCGCACTGTGTGGCGCTTGTCCGCGCGCGAGGTGATGCGCGGATAACCCGCCTGCAGGTGACAAGATGCGAGTAGGGTTGACATGCTCTGCGCGCATGGATGGGATGTGCACATAGTGCGCACGTCCTGTGCCAGCTGTGCGCATAGTGCGAACGTCCCGCGCTAGCTATGCGCGCGTGCACGCGAGCAGCACACAGGCCCCCGTGCGAGCAGCCCTTTCCTGTAGGATTTTCTTCCATTTTTTCGTTTTTCCTAAATTTATTTTTTAAAAAAATAATAATTAGACTAAAATAAAATAAAACAAACTAAAATTAAATAAAATAAAAATCGACATAATTTACGAATTACGATAATAATTAGCATAATAAATTAAATGTGTTCAATGTGGCCTAAAGCACCGAATAAATAAGATTTTTCAAATAAATTAAGCACAATAATAAGTGAGGAGTTACAAAAAAAGAAGCCAAGAAAGAGAGGAGGAACCACGAAAAGCTAAGAGTGAGAGCTTGAGGAAGTAACCCAAAAGCCTTTAGTTCTACATAAACCACCATAGCTTAAGGCAGTTCTTTTTTTTGGTAAATGTCTCCCTCCCCTTAAAGGTTGTGTCGTTTTAAGCTTGGCTTTGCCTAACTGTAAGTGTGTGTATAGGTCACAGTGGATAAGAGAACCTAACACCTCCGAGGTGAGTCATAATTCTCCAAAGCCAAAAACGAGGGTAAAAAAGTTGTAGAGTTTTTTAGTATACGGATTTTATTTTCGTGACTTATTTGAAATTATTATCGAGAATCTTTTGGTGTTGTGAGTTTAATTGAGAGATTAGAGCTTTGAGTGTGCATCGGTAATGGCCAAATGACTTTCGTTCATATGATTTAATATTTAATTGATTTTGAAATAAATGAAAACAAGCCACTTATGAAAGTTAATAAATTCCAAAATTATTATGGAGAGACCATATAGGGTATTTAACTAATTTTTAAATAAATGAAAACAAGTCACTTAGGAAATTTAATAATTTTTTAAATTATTATGGAAATACCATATTGGGTATTTAATTAATTTTAAAATAATTGAAAATAAATCACTTAGGGAATTTAATGAATTTTGGAATTATTATGTTTAGTATCCGCACATAGTGACCTAAAATTTTGAACTTAATGAATTTAATGAACTGAAATTTGTGTTTGATGTGTATAAGTTCTGTAATGCCATAAGTGTTCAGTGTGAGTCAGATATTTTGTGTTATGTGAAATTCAAAAATTCTGGAAATTCCATGAAGAAATTTAAAATGTAAATCTGTAATTAGTAATTAGTAATTATAAAACTCAAGACTCAAAAACGCAATAAAACAAAATATGTATAGCTTCGGCAAAATAACGATAAAGGCATCAATCACGAAGGAAATAAAATTAGGCAAATATGGTCATGGGTATAATAATAACACAACAGTTAAAATAAATCGAAACTCATAAATAATTTATAAAGAAAATTTAGCAGAACATGTTGGTAAATATACGCTAGCGGTCCCTTTAAAAAGAAAATTTTGGGATAATTTTGCGTAAGAAAATTTTTAAATAATTCTTTTTACAATGCTTTATTTTCTTTACGCTTCTTTTTTTGAAAATATTTTATATCTGTATGTTAGATTTATTACCTCTTTCTCACCAAGTTTGTGAAACTCACCCAAATTCAAACCTCCATTCTAGATAAGGAAAATCAAGAACAAGTCCAAAATCATTAAAGGCCTGCAGTGAGACTACATTTTGAGTATTTTAAAATTTGTATTTTGAGTTTGATTGAACTCCTTATTTCTGAATTATTGTAAAATTTGTTTTGAGAGTAAGTTCCTCATGTAATCTTCCTAACATTGTTTTGTTTTATTACAATGCATGAAAATAGATATAATTAGTCGCTGCATCATTCAGAATTACTTAAAACTTATCTAAGAAATTGTATGTACCAATATTCGTAACTCCACTGGAGTGCGAGACATTACACATACTGTATACTCCCATTAGTTAGAATGATCTCTACCTTCCCAAGGAGCATGAATGACTAGGTTTTCAACTTATGATGGACATGAATATTACAGTAGTGACGAAGATCACACCGTAATTTTTAGCACAATCATACGAGTTTTAGACCTAAATAATCTAGTCTAAATAGCTTAAACAGACACCCCATAACTTAGGGTAAATAAAACAAGTGGACTATTTAATTTTAAAAAGCTTAAGTTGACCATTTATATCTCAAGGCTTATATAAGATTGTAGCTACTAGCAAAACGATTAGTATCTGGTTTGACTCATGAAAATCATCCATACCTAAATTCAAACCATCATACCAGATTGCTGGAAGTCTCGTGTTAGTAATCCAACTCCTAAAGCCTTTATGGTAGTGAATGAAATACTTAGTTTATATGGGCCCATTTTTCTGAAGCAGTAACAAAGGTAATCACACATGCAGTCGTTTCCCCTATACAAGGCAAAGACGCATGGATATGCAAATTTAGGCAAGTAAACAATACTCACCTCATAGTGTTTGTATATTGGGCAAAAAACTGGCGATCTCTAGACAATATGTAATTTAATATCCTATGGTTCTTTCTAAAGAGATTTTTTGTGTGTCCAACTACCAAAAATGTATTAATTGCATATTTATAGAATTTATATGAAAACACTACCCGAGTTGGAATTCATGTATAGACAATGTGTCTTAAGGCAATAGTGAAAATGAAACTTATCACAATTTCTTTTTTGCATCGATCATTTCTTAAGTAATACAGTTTCCATTACTATGGACGTTCTTATACACATAGTCAACAATGTCACCCTATTAATCTAAATCTAAGGTTTGATCAAACATCAGAAAACACAAAAGGTTCATGTAGACACATGATATCATATTTTGTTTTTTGTAGATATTCTCATAGATCATTTGAGGTATTATCGCAATCACATTCTCTTTTTTGATACTTCAATAAATATTTAGAAGATTTTTTGGCAATATTGATATTTAGTATAAAGAAGTATGCAACTTTTTATAATATCAGTTAAATGTATCACCAATCTTTTAACTTGAGATAAGTATAGTCTATTCTTTATATCGCATCTTTTTCATAATTAAAAAATTATCTAACAGTTTTATTCACATTCCTTACACAGAACATCATTAATGCTTAAATATAGCTTACAATTGAAAGTAACCTAATTGAAGTCAATAGAGAAGCTCTTGTGTAGCCTTTTCATTCGTCTAGAAAATGGCTCTATATTTCATGATTGTTTATAGTTTTTCCAAGCTCAGTACTACAGCTTCGTTGGACGGATCATGCCAAACACATCCTCTAGATATCTAGAGTTTGCTCCACCTGAAATCTAAGTTACATGCATTCGCAACTTATTTTGTGAAATAATATGCATTCTAGAACAATTTTATAGCCTAGTGTGTAACTAAGTGGGTCAATATTTACAGTAAACGAGGGCCTTCGCACGTTTTGTATACACTTTGTAATTGATAGTAACAGTTTAGTAAAAATTACAGTTTTTTCTTTTCTTTTTTTTTTTTTAAAAAAAAAACTATTCAATTAGCATTATGGCTCTTTTTAAAGTGCATGTCTGAAGTTCAAGCGACGCGTTCTCCTGACTGGGCCGTGCCAAGCCTCGCTTGCAAGCTGCAGCTCTAAGTGAAAAAGAAGGAAGAAAACAAAATAATTTGTCTGTTTCAGTGAGTTTGTGGACTAGATTCTTAGGTGGGTCTTCTCATGTTGGTTAGTGCAAGTCGCAGTCTTCTACTTATTGCTCGAGGAAAATGGCAGGCAGATCGAACAGGAAGTTCTGAAAATATCAGCTAGAGCTCACACCATAGCCAAGAAACCCACAGCTACTTCTTTTCGAGTTCCTTCAGGTGGAAAATCTGTATCTTTTTTCTTATTCCTTTGTTATTCCCTTGTTATTTTCCAATACATGTACCCGTTTGCTTTAATTCTTAGGTTCTGATTTCTGGGTTTGCTTTTCTTTTGTCGAAGTTTGATTTTTTTTTTCTTGGTTTAAGAAGTTGGAGGCATATAGCTGTTTTCTAATGCCTGCTGAAGTGCTCTACTTGTTATTTAGTTAATGTTCGTCCTTTCAGGGATAATTTATTTTAAATTAGTTATTCTGGTATGCTGTCCTTAAGAGTTAATTTCTGATGCCTATAATTTTGATGATTAATTAATATGATAGATAGTAAATGGTATGGGAAACGACAAATTGATCCAATAAAAAATTGATTGATTAGTGGTTTTAAGCTTTTTAAACAAGATATGAGTTCTTGCAGCATGTTGCGAGAACCATTGATGAACATGATTTCCTCAATTAGAAAAACTCCCAGCAATCAGAGAGAGTAAGTAACATGAACGAGTTCTATTTTTCATCACACCCTTGACCTATTTTTGTTCAGTGTACTCTTTTGCTAACTGTTGCAAAAGTTGAGCCACTTGAATATTCTGGAAAAGAATTATCTTGTTCTCCTTTTATAGAAAATCTGAAAAATACTAATACTTTGGGAGACGTGCAGCCCTGGTAGACTTTTCCCTTTCTACTCTCTCCTTGTTTTTTTCACCTTCGACAGGTTGAGAGTCCAAGTTTGTTTGCTAGTCTATCATTTTCCTTCTGCCAAAGTCTGGATGATTTTCATGACTGAGGTGTTTCTGTTCCTCGAAGAATTTTCCATCTCTGTTTTGATCAATGCAGCTTCCTGTTCATGATCATTGACTGAGTTGCCTGAGAAAATATTAGCTATCTAGTTATGCCATGGTGATGTTATCAACCTTCTAGCTGTATCACAAAATTTTTTATGCAAATCCTTATATGGGTCTTAATCTTTTCCCATCTTTGTTTTTTTCAAATACACTCTGTTGGGTTTGTTATCACCAGGGAACCACTTATTTTAATATGTGATTAACCAAGTCAAAGTAATGCTCTAAGATAATTTGTTCATGAAACTTTTAATTCCCATAGTCCTATAAATATAGGTGGAGTCTGATCTAGTAGAACCTTCTTTATTCTTTTTTGAAGTAAATTCATGGCTGTATTGCATATAAACTGGCTTCTCGAAGAGTCAAAGTCATGTTCCCTAATTTTTTTTCCTTACATTTTAGAAATTACATTGGTTCTCTTTTTCTTACCAGCAATGCTAGTGCCAATAGCAGCTGCCTTGATAGCCGGTTTATTGGGTTATGCATATCAGGCATTAAAGCCTCCGCTTCCAAAGGTTTGCGGGTCGATTGATGGTCCTCCTGTTACCAGTCCTAGAATCAAACTTAGTGATGGGAGACATTTGGCCTACAGGGAGACAGGAGTTCCTAGGGAAGAGGCTAAGTACAAAATCATCATCATTCATGGTTTTGACAGCTCCAAGGATCTGAACTTACCTGCCTCTCAGGTATGAATTCATTTTGCTTGTTTAATCGCTCCACATACAGTCTTGTAGCTGTTACAAAATCATGTTTGGGTATACTGTAGTAAAACAAGGAACATTCATTACAAGCTACACTATGTCTCAGACCAACTTGTGTTTAATGTGTTGGGAGTAAGGCTTCTGGAAGTGACAAGGTTTCTACAAATCTCCCAGTTCTGTTGTCTTCTAAAATTTCATCATCTAGAACACGCTCTCTTTCTGCAGGTCTACTGAATTAAAAGTGTTGTCAAAGCATAGACCTATTACATCTTGTGTTAGATCTTAATTTTAATATAACATATTATGAAACAATATACAATAATTGCATATCATTTGCAGTAGAATTGGATGATTGATTTATCCAAAAGCTTAAGTTGATACAAGATGAGTTTTATTATTTCTTCTCTTAAGAGCATTTTCCATTGAGAATTTGCCTGGCATACTGCAATGGTATTAATAACTTTAGTTGCATAATCTCCTTTCTGTGGTAAAAGCAAAATTACGTCCTAAAAGTTTTCCCAAGGAAATTAGTATTTTTTTTTAATAGCTTTTAGAAGGAAATTATTTTCTGTCATAATTCTCTGTACCTTATATTTAGTCACTTATTCTCAAGTCTCCCTCCAAAATTCCCAACTGAGGGTCTTAGGTTTACCATCTGAATGTTGCTATGCCAGATTATTACTCACAATGAAGAAATCTGATGTAAATAAAGGCCCAATTAACTAGTAGATTTCAAAAACTAAGCGTGAACCTCATCATATTTTGATATCTAAACCATTCACAGGTGCAGTTCAAAGATTTATAGGTGTTAACCCTTCATCATTTGTCAATTTTTCTTTTCCAGATAAGAGCATTGTTTATAAGTTTCGGGTTTGTGTAAGAAACTGTTTCATTTCTATGCATCTTTTTACAAACATTTGATAGTAATAGAGAGTTTTTTTATAACATCTGTTTTATATAATCATAAAACTTTGTGAAACCCATCCACATGCTTTTGTCTTTTCAGGAACTGATAGAGGAAATGGGGATATATTTCGTGCTTTTTGATAGAGCAGGTTATGGGCAGAGTGATCCAAATCCGTCAAGGACGGTGAAGAGTGAAGCATATGACATTCAAGAGCTTGTGGACAAATTGCAGATTGGGTTGAGGTTTTATGTAATTGGAATCTCAATGGGAGCCTACCCTGTTTACAGTTGCCTAAAATATATACCACATAGGCATGAGCATTTGGCCTATAAGGCTTGTTTCCCTATTTACTCTATCCTGTGATAACATTCTAGTTTTTTATCTAATTCTGTATGCATCAAATTTATAGGTTATCAGGAGCTGCCCTGGTAGTTCCCTTTGTGCACTACTGGTGGCCTCGTTTTCCTTCCAATTTAGCAAGTGAGGCTTTCAAGAGATTATTAGTGCAGGACCAATGGACATTTCGAATTGCTCATTATGCTCCTTGGTTATTCTACTGGTGGATGACTCAGAAATGGTTCCCTTCTTTAAGTATCACGGCTGGAAAAACTGAAATTCTTAGTGAGGAAGATTTAGAGATCTTGAAGAGGTGGTCAGAAACCCAAACTGTTGGTCAGGTAATTATATTTGCTTTGCATATTATTGAAGGCATGTTTTTTGACTTTCGTGGCTGGATCTTATAATCACCATGATTTTGCAAACAAATATGAAGTTACAGATCCGGCTGCATTTTACCTGTGTTCCTTGCCTTACACCCATGTAAATTTCAAATCTACTTTTTTTTTTTTTGGTTTAATATTTGAAGATTACACGGTCAATCGGTTGCAAACTTAGAGCTGCTTCATTTTTTCACTTATACAGGATAACATTCGACAAGGTGTTTATGAATCTCTACATCGAGACATAATGGTCAGTTATGCAAACTGGGAATTTGGTCCAACAGATCTGATTAATCCTTTTCCAAAGGAAGAGGGATCAGTTCACATTTGGCAAGGTTGCAAAGACAAAATCATTGCTTCTCAAATGAACCGTTATATCTCTGAGAAACTCCCATGGATTCATTATCATGAGGTTCCTGATGGAGGACATTTCTTGATCTTTGAGAGGAAAAACTGTGACGCAATTTTAAGGGCGCTTTTACTCACATAAGCATCTGCCCTCATAGTTGACCTGTTCAGTTGATGTTTATATCGAGTAGATTGTTCAGTGTAAGAAAGGCCCCTATGCATGTAAAGGAATATATTTCCAATTTCAGCAAACGATATAGCAGCAAAGTGGTAATGATTTCCTGCACAATCTGAGATGGGGGAGTTTAATAGGATGGAGCTAAGAATCCATTTATTTGGTAAGAATAAGGCATTTAGTTGATTACTTGGGAGAGTCAGGAAGACAAAATTATGCTTTTGAATTACCATGATATATTGTTCATGGATCCCGGCCTCATTGAGGTCGAAATGAAGGTTTGTGTCATCCTAAAGTGTAAAGGTGTTCAAATGAGAGTTCATTGGAACGAATTTGCATGAATTTTATACATGAAAGTTTTCTTTCTTATGAAGCAAAGAGATATATTTTGACAAAAGTATAAATTACTTCTCCAACTTGAGGTTATTTTAATTCTCATGTTAGTGTATTATCTTATTTAGATACCTATTAATTAATTAATGAACATCCATCTCGAATTGTATTGAAATAGTCGTTGTTATGACATAAAACTTTCAATGTGAGGTGAATACTAATAGAATATCTACTTAAGATTTTCATGTGGAGTGCATAAATATACTTGTACAAAATTAGGGAACAATCTCAAAAATTAAATGTATGAATCTTGAGAAAACCTAAAATCATTCTAAGATAGAATCTTAAAGGTTGAAAGTATTAAGCTTTCGAAAGAAGTCGAATATACTAATTTTAGAATCAACATTAATTGTAATTGAAATTTATAAAAAAAAAGTTTAAATATTTGTATGATTATATAATTAATAAAAGTATAATGGGTAAAAATTTTGTTATTATTTTAAATAATAAATAAATTTATTTTAAAAATTAAAAAATTTGAAGTGTATATATATATATATATGATACTCCTAACTGTTCTTTCAACTACTTAATTAATAAAGTTTGGTTGTTCTAAATTATTATTTTTATCCCCTTGAAACAAATAACCAAAGAAAATAAAATTGAAAGCTCTATTTAATCAGCTCTCTTTCAACTCACAAACATATGCGAATAGACTCGAATCACGTTCTCACTCAACCAATCGATTCTACTGAAGAATGGCCGAGCCAGTTGTGGCTGCAATCTTGCAACAGTTGGCAACCATTATTGATCGAGAGGTAAGGGAAGGGGTTAAGCTGGTGGTGGGTGTGGAGAAGGAAGTCCGAAGACTGAGCAGCAATCTCAGCGCCATTGAAGCTGTTCTTGAAGACGCCGAGAAGAAACAGCTCAAGGATGCGGCTGTCAAAGATTGGCTAGCTAAGCTCAAAGAGATATCTTACGACATGGACAATTTGGTGGATGAATGGAACACTGCAATCACGAAAAAACAAATCGCTAGTGGTGAAAACGCTCCTCTTCATGGAAAGGTACTCTCTTCGATCCTCCGCCCTTGTGTTTCTCTGGCTCACTCTTGTTTTCGATATGGTATTGCTCGTAAAATTAAGGAAATGGATGAGAGATTGAGTGTGATTGCGGTAGAGAAAGATAGGTTTAATTTTAGTCATATAAGAGGAGCAGAAGAACCTGAGCGACTTAGAACGACATCGTTTTTTGATGAATCTGAAGTACGGGGTAGGGATGGGGAGAAAGCTTTGGTGTTGACAGAGTTATTGTCAGGTAGTCAAAGCCCTAGTCAACCTTATATCATGTCTGTTGTGGGGATGGGTGGAATTGGCAAGACCACTCTTGCCCAACTTGTATACAATGATAAAGAGGTGATTAGATATTTTGACAGAAGGATTTGGGTGTGTGTCTCTGATCCATTCGATGAGGTCAAGGTTGCCAAAGCAATCCTTCAATCCCTTAACGGAGATTCTCCGAATTATACCGAGTTCGAGACTATTCTGGTTAAAATACATGAAGCTATCGTGGGCAACAAGTTCCTTCTCATCCTAGATGATGTTTGGACTGAAGATCGTGCAAGATGGGAACCACTGCACCATTGTCTCAAGTGTGGTGCACAGGGAAGTAGAATTTTGGTTACCACCAGGAAAGAAACGGTTGCATTGATGATGGAGACGAATTACAGAGTCACCTTGGAGAGTTTGTCTGAGAAAGATTGCTGGTCTTTGTTTGGTCGGATTGCTTTTTTTGGAAGACGTGACGAAGAGCGTGAAAGCTTAGAAGATGTTGGCAAGGAAATTGTTAAAAAATGTAAAGGCTTGCCTTTAGCTGCAAAAACCCTTGGGAGCCTCTTGCGGTTTAAGAGAACTAGAGAAGAGTGGCAGAGTGTTATGAACAGTGAGTTATGGGAACTAGAAGAGGCTGAAAAAGGTATTTTCCCTCCATTATTGTTGAGTTATTATGATTTGCCATCCACATTGAGGCGCTGTTTCTCATACTGTGCTGTGTTCCCTAAGGACTACAAGATAGAGAAAGATAGGTTGATTAAGTTGTGGATGGCACAAGGTTATATAAGGCCAAGAGGGAGTCAAAGGGTGGACATAGTTGCCCAAGAATACTTTGATCACCTAGCAATGCGCTCTTTCTTTCAGGATTTTGAGAAGGACGAGGAAGGTGATATTGTCATATGCAAAATGCATGACATAGTGCATGATGTTGCTCAGTTTTTAACCAAGAACGAGTGTCTATTGATTGAAGTCAATGTAAGGGGAGAACCCAAATTGAACCTTTGTTTTCAAAAAGCATGTCATTCCACAATGATACTTCCAAGTGGTGCACCATTTCTCGTTTCTCCTTATGATGGTAAAAAATTGCGTAGTCTGTTGCTTCAATTTATTGGAAGGCCTTCTATCAGTGCTGAGGCTCTACATGATTTATTTGATCAACTAACATGTTTAAGGGCATTGGATTTACATGATAGTTTAATTGAAGAACTTCCACGGGAGATAGGAAAATTGAGACATTTGAGGTTTCTTGATTTGTCGTACAATGTGAAGTTAAAAGTTTTACCAGAATCCCTTTGTGACTTATGTAACCTTCAGTCCTTGAATATCTCGGGCTGTAATTATCTTAAGAGTCTACCATGTGGAATTGGAAAACTAATCAACTTAAGGTTTATAGATAATTCCCAAACTGTACATCTGAGCTTCATACCACAAGGAATTGGGAGATTAACTTCTCTTCAGAGGTTAACAATGTTCTTTGTCACTGGTAAAGGCAAAAAACATGGAGCATCCACTCTTGCAGATTTAAAGTACTTAAACCATCTTCAAGGGACTTTACAGATAGGAGGGCTGGGAAATGTAGCAAATGTTGCAGAGGCTAAGAAAGCAGAACTTCTGAGTAAGAAATACCTAGCAAAATTGCAGTTAAGTTTTGATGGAAAGGAAGCAAACTCCAGGATGATTCATGACAGCAAACTTCTGGAAGCCTTAGAGCCACCTCCAGATTTGAAGTGTCTTTCAATTCAGTTCAATGAAGGCAAGATAGTTTCACCTAATTGGATGATGTCATTAGCCAAGTTGAAAGAACTAAAACTGATTCAATGTAACAACTGTGAGCATTTACCTCCACTGGGGAAACTGTTATCCCTTGAGTCACTTGTTGTATCAGGGATAAGAAGAGTGAAAAATGTCGGAATTGAATTTTTGGGAATCAAAGTCGATGGTGCCGCAAACAACCCTTCCATTGTTGCCTTCCCTAACTTGAAGCTACTCAAATTTGGGTACATGGATGAGTGGCAAGAATGGGATTTCAGATCCCACTAACAGCAAAGATAATGCCATGCCTTCAATCCTATGGTTAATGAATCATGTCCGAAGCTAGAGGCAGTCCCAGACCACATTCTCGAGAGCACACAGCTTAAAACACTGGACATCAAATACTGCCCGTGTCTAGTCAACGTTATCAA